TTCACAGGTGCATTTCCTCTCTGCATTTTTCAGATATACTTCTATTCTTTTGAAGTGTTCCACACAGCCAAGTTTGAAGAATACCTTATCCCATACGTGTCCCTGGGAGTTGGGTTGTGTGAATGCTTATCCTCTATACTCTGTGTAAGCCTTTTCAAACTTCAGTGGGAAGGAAAAAAATACTGTGGTCAACACTTGTACTTTTCCTTACTTATAACTGAGCTTGCATAACCTAAGACACATCTTCCTGCTTCTGCAAAAACACATGCAGGATAAAAGGCAATTCTTTTCCCAAATTATTTGCAGGAGTGTATGTCTTTAGACTCATTTTTATTCTGTAAAATAATTTTCTGGTGTTCTGAGCTAGAAGTGTGTGTGTGTGTGTGTGTGTATGCACAATTCAACATATGCCAGCACACAAACTGCCTAAAAACAGCGTAGAGCTGACTAATAAACACAGCTTAATGAATAATGAGTTACCTTTGAAGAAGCTAATCAAATTCTTTTGGAATTAAGAGACTCAAATGACATTGATTTATGACTATGATTCAGATATATTTCCTGCAAAGAACACATGAAGAATTATTTGAGAACTGGGATTCATGACCTGTGTTTTCTGCTTTTCAGAGCACTCTCATAGACCGGTTTGGGAGGAAGGTGCTGCTGTGGGTCGGATACACACTGATGTGTTCTGTGCTAGCACTCCTTACCATGACCCTGTCACTGCAGGTACAGAGGCTGCAGCCTCCTGGCTGCTTGCTCAGCACCAGCCCAGCTTTCCAGTCTTGCCTATAGGATATGTACACAACCTTGAGCCAGTGGCAGAAAATACAGAGCTCTGCTATTCTGTCATGTGTCTAACAGTTTGATGTCACTGGTTTTTCACTTTTAGCACCAGTTTTTCTGGATGCATTACTTCAGCGTTGTCTTGATCTTCCTGTTCGTTGTCTTCTATGGAATTGGACCATGTGAGTACATCAGTGGCTATGCTGGGAGGAAATTTTGTATTATATTGTTTGGCAACATAACTGGCATAGGAAGAACAGCCTAGCGCCATGGTAAAAAATGTTCTGGAAATTCAGGAGGGAAGGGCAGACATGGTCAAGTGGGAGGCAGGAAAAGGATAAAGACATCTCTAATTCTACTGCTGACCACAGGATCAAAATAATTTAAAACACGGTCTTCTCCAGAGGGTTTGAGACAGAAATTTCAGAAGATTTTTTTAAGTACTCAGCTAAAAACAGGATTCTAGGCATTGTCAGGTCTGTTATAGTAATCCTCTTCATTAGCTTAGCAAGTCAAGCTTATGCCTACCAACATGCTTCAGGTGGAACTGACCACAGGAGCCGAAAGAGGAGCTGGTTTTATAAATCACTGCACCAATAATGATTACCAGTGCAATATGGAACTGCACAGATCCACTGGCACCAGAAAAGGCATTCCAGTTTGTATAAGAGAAATGTAAATTAACAGCTGCAGTCCTTCCTGGACTCAAGGTCTTTCACCCTCATAGCAGAGGCCACCTACCAACAGGGCACCTACTCTGCCTGTCTGTCATCTTCTGCCACTGCCAT